GGTGACCATGGTCGTGAAGTTAACGACCATGGTCACCTCCACGACTTGATGGCGTTCACGACGTGAACGCCATCAAATTGGAGGGTGAAAGAGGGGGTTTGCAACAGTGGGTCTTCAATGGGGGCTGACTGGCCCATGTATGCTAAACGTACCACTCATGTATGCGATCGGGTATAATTGGCATCCAATGTTGGCGGTCATGGAGGGCCAGTCGTTCGTGCCCGCGCGTTGCCCGCGCGTGCAAACGCGCCGTCCATCCGTTCTTGTTCATGCGTGCGGGCGTTTTTGCTTATCGCGCGTGGGGCGGCGAAGTGGAGTGCAAGTGTGTTTTGATTGTGCAATTGGGGATCGCGTATGTTCCCAGACGGGGACTTGTCGACCCCCGCGACAGATTTGGAATGGGTCCCGCGAGTCTCCCAACGTGTGAATGCACAATTTCCTTTTTTTCCCAACGTGTGAATTTACATTTTGCTTTTCCCCAACATGTGAATTCAGATTTTGGCCCTTTCCGAATGATTCGTATACAAAATTCCAGCATGTGAATTCACAACTTCCTTTTTTTATTGTAAAATCACATTTTCCTTTTTCCAAACGGTGTATTCACATTTTGCTTGCCCCACCGTGTGAATGCGCACTCTGCCTTGGCCCTCAAGATCCCCAAAAGTGAGGCGCAGTGTTCCGCGTGTCAGATTGGCCGGGCAGATTTTGACATTCACCTCGCCGCTTTCTTCTATTCCAACCTCTTATTTATGCGCCCTCAGCGTGCGTTGCCTTCGTCGCCCTTCCCGAGTCCCCCGCCTCCTTGCGTCGTTTGCCGTCGAGTCTCCCGCCTGCGCGCAGGCGTGGGGCTTCAATCGTGGCCCCCGCTGAACGCGGCAATCGAGGATGCGTCGCCCATGCGCGCCCCTTGGGGGCGCCGTTGCCGGGGCCCTGCGCCCGACCCCCACCTTCACCCTCCAACCAAGAAGGGGAAAAGGACAAGGGGAATGGGGAGGCAACGGAGAAGACGGCTGCAAGAAGGCCACGACGGAGGCAGGGCCTCCCGACCCCAGCACCAGTCGCAGCAGGAGGGCAAGGGCAGGGACAGCCATGATGGTCAGCGCATCGAGACGCGCAAGCGCAGGGAGTGCCATCAGAAGGGTCACCTGGCCCGAGACTGCCCAGACAAGACTGCGAAAATGAACGGCGCAGTCTGCAAGACGATCGAGCTAAAGGACGTGTTGAATTCGGTTCAGCTGCTTGCGCCTGTGACGGGTTCCGCGGCATCGAGCGCAGCTTCCGCGGCACCGAGCACCGTCGCACAGGCGCGAACCAATGCTGTGCGGCTGTCAGTGGCGAGCCCAGCGGCTGCTCCGAGTGGCGGCAGCGTCAGCTCAGTCGGCTGCGGGGCTGCGGGAGACACTGCGCCCGCCATCCAGTGAGTGCTGCGCTTGGCGGCCGAGGCGGCTGATCCTGTGAATCGGATCTCGATGCTGCGAGCCCCGCAGGCTGGGGGCCCAGGAGGCGACAACGAGCGTTGCGACGAGTCTATCATTGTGGACTCGGGGGCCTCCCGAGCGACGTGCCCGCGCAGCCATGCCCCGAGCGTGGCGATGTGCGAGCCTGCCCAGCACTGCGACATCCGCGCCGCGGACGACAGGCGCGTGAAACACTGCGGCGAGAAGAGCGTACAGTGCGACCTGCTAGACGGCTCAGACGTGCACGGAGTGGGCATCGAG